CTCTAAAACAAGTTGTTGAGGAGCCAACTCGTAAAGAGGCCATACTAGATTTAGTGTTAACAAATGGAGATTTGGTATCAGATATTACTGTAGGTGAAAGTTTAGGATCCAGTGATCATCAGTCAGTGTGGTTTAATATAAGAACAGTGACTGAGTCACACCACACAAAAACAAAAGTTTTAGACTTTAGAAAAACAGACTTTTCTAAAATTAGAATATGGGTAGAGGAGTCATTATCAGACTGGAGCAATTTAAATGGAGTCCAAGAGAAATGGGATTATTTAAAAGTTGCACTATTGAAGGCAACAGAAAATTGCATTAGGCTTGTCAGTAAAAGCAAAAAATTCAAGAAACCACTGTGGTACTCCGCAGATGTGGCCAAAATAGTTAAAAACAAAAAGTTAGCATTTAGGAATTATAAAAAAACCCAGAGTGAGGAAGACAAAATGATCTATAAGATTAGGCAGAAACAGGCTAAGCAAGTTATAAGAGCTTCCAAATCACACACAGAAGAGAAAATAGCACAGTCAGTAAAAAAGGGGGATAAAACATTTTTTAGATACATAAATGAGAAAAGAAAAGTAAAACAAGGATTAGTTAGATTAAATGAGACTAATAGCCCACAATACTATTGTTTTTAGTTGATCGATTTTGTATTGTACAGTAATCCATGTGTCTTAATGGTGTGGCGGGGGGGTGAATGCACTAGGGGAGGTGACCCCGGTAACACAGGGTAATGGGACCAGGCAGTCTTAGTTTCTTATTGGGCCCATGAAGGGCAGAGACCTGTATTGGGATCCCCGGGCAGAACCAGAACTACTGTAGGGAAGGTAACGGGCACCATATAGGCTAGATAATGCCATTACATTATCGGTTAACATAGAGGTCCAAGCAACTAATAAGTGGCGCCTAAGTGGAGGAGCTCAGGGTCCCATTGTTCCTCCCAACGTTGATCGTGGCAGGAAAGTGGGATGATGTTCCCCACAATATTCTGGCAATTGGTAAGACCAGAATTTCAGTATATCTTATTCTCTACTTTTTCTTCTCTTTAACCCTCCTTTTTTTCTCTTTACTCTTATTCTGAGGGATGGTGAGGGCGGGGGGCTAGCAGCGGGTTTCTCTCGGAGTCCAAACAGGGAGCAAGATCGGACAAAGGTCATAAGAAATATATATAGAGCTCTACACGTGCCGCCCGATGGAGATTAAGATCACTTCCCTGAACGTTAAGGGCCTTAACGCCCCAAGAAGCGTCGACTCCTGTTCACAGAACTGAAGAGAATGAAATCGGACATGCGTTTGTCCAAGAGACCCATTTGCCAAAACAGGCCAAGTTTCGGTTGAGAGACCACGCATATGCTGGTTCATACGAGGCCAGGTCCCACTGCAAACGAAACGGGGTGGCAATTTTTACTAGAAGTAGCTGCCCCTTCCGTAAGACACATTATGAAGCAGACCCGGAAGGTCGTTTTGTTATTGTTTCAGGCGTCCTACACTCGCATACCATTCATCTGATAAACATCTACGCGCCGAATCAGCCGGACCCAAGGTTTTGGGGAGTGCTTCGAGAGAAAATCTCGGGGCTGCCCCACGGAACGTTATTTCTAGGAGGCGATTTTAACGCAGCCCCGTGCCCTGTGCCCCGGTGGACAGGAGCTCGCGGAAGGAAACACCTAGATCACAGGGTAGGGGCGGCCAGGACCATCTACTTAAAGACTTCATAGCTGAAATGGGAATGGTAGATATATGGCGAGCTCATCATCCAGGGGATACAGATTACTCTTTTTACTCAGCTCCCCACGGAACATACTTGAGGATAGACTTCTTCTTGGCTAACGCAGCGGGCATGTCCCGAACAGTAGGGTCACAGGTGGGCAATATATCTTGGTCAGACCACGCAGATATATCCATCACATTGGGCAACCTATGCGTTGCCTCACCATGGACATGGAAACTGAACAAGTCACTGCTTCGAGATCCGGAGATACTGGAACAGACTAGGAAAGGAATACCAGATTACTTCGAGTTGAACACCACCCCCGAAGTGAACGCAAGCACGATTTTGGTGGCCCACAAAGTGGTCATTAGAGGGACCCTGATTAAACTGGCCACCAGAAGAAAGAAAATGAAGCACCAGAAACTGGAGACTTTTCTGGGACAACTGAGATCCCTTGAACAAAAACACCAAACTGTGCCAACAGAGGACACTCTCAGGCAACTGGAAGCAGTTAGACGGGACATCCGAACTCTACTACTGGACGATACGGCTAGATCCATGGCTTGGTCAAAAAGGAAGTTTTTTTGAAAAGGCGAACAAGATAGACACCCTCCTGGCCAGGACGCTTCGGCCGAGGCAGGAGAGGTCCCACATAACGGCAATCAAACATCCGGATGGCATGACGAGATCAAGACCAGTTGAGATAGCGAAGATCTTCGAAGATTTTTATAAAAGATTGTATAACCACACGCTGGATGGAAGCCCCCACGGGGAGCATGAGGAGGAGTATATATTGCAATATTTGGACAAACTAGGGTTGACCAGATTGAGTGGGGAGGCAGCAAGCACTCTGGCGGCAGATATTTCAGAAGACGAAGTAGATAAAGCTATCTCGAGCCTGAAAGGCAATAAAGCACCAGGACCAGACGGATTCGATGGCTCATATTACAAAATATTCAGAGAAGAGCTGACACCTCAACTGGTCTGTCTTTTTGATAACCTACGGCAGGGCGGACAATTAGACCATGACTGTTAAATAAAAGTCTCAATATGTGTCACCTTCCAGGAACAGGCATGGAAAACTATGTTTAGGTGGTATACTACCCCAGTCAAACTACATAGAATGCACAAACGGGAGACTGACGATTGCTGGAGGGGATGTGGAGCCCGAGGATCATACATCCACATGTGGTGGGAATGCCTGAAGCTAAAGGGATTTTGGAGGTCCGTGGAGGATCTGTTAAGACAGACGTTTAATAGACTCCTAAAAATGGATCCGTGGATTTACTTGTTGAATAGATCTGTGGACGGGTGGACCAAAAGGGAACAGAAATTGGTACACAAGATTACTCTGTGTGCACGCCGAGCAATTGCGGCAGCGTGGCTTACACCTGAGGGCCCAGAATTCACAGGGGTTATTTCCAAAATCAAAGAATGTAGAATTATGTATGATCTAACGGCGAGGGTGAGAGGGACCATTGCGACATTCCAAAAAACCTGGGATCCATGGGACAATAGTATAGTTGGTTCGAGAAGAGACTGAGGGCCTCCCACCTCCGAGTATAAACCTAAGATGTAAACACCCCTTTTGAAAGTGACTTGATTGTCAACGAAGTGGCTGCGATTCCCCCTCCCCTCAACCCCCATCTCCCTTTTCTATCTCTCTAAGCTCTACTTATCCCATCTCTTTTCTCTTCTTCTTTCTCTCTTCCTCTTTCTTTGTTTTTGTTTTGTTTTTTCCAGGCAAGATCACACGGTCGGTGGAATAATGTAGCTCAAGTACTAGATTGATTAGCAAATATAACGGCTACTTGTACTACTTAACTGCCTGTTTTTGATTTAAACATAAAATACCTCAATAGACTGCGGGTGCCAAAGGTATATTAAGGAACGGGCTTGCAATGATAAGGTTGTATTGTATTTCCTTGCAATGTTATGTAATTCAACTGGCTTCCTTATAAACCCAAAAGTGAATGTACACCTGTTACGTTTATTGTAAAAATAAAGAATCTTAAAAAAAAAAATAACCTATGGGGGTCACTAGGACACTATAACAGGCCGTGAGGGCTCTGTGTCATTTTACACATTCGACTGATAACCCTCTGATTGGTTGCTTTAAAAAAAGAAAGCAACCAATCAGAGAGTTATGAGTCCAATTACGCAGCATGGGAAAATTCCAAAGAACTTTCCCACGCTATGTAAAATGACACAGAGCACTTTGGTTGGATTTCAAGCCAACCAACCAGAGTGCTGTGATGGGTAAATGTAGATACTTACCTGTCAGTCTCTTCATTTACCTGTCAGAGCACTCTGATTGGTTGGCTTACACCAACCAATGAGAGCGCTTTGAGCCTAATTGCAGGGCGCGGGAAGGCTTTATAAGCCTTTCCCTGCCCTGCAGAGCTCATTGGATTATTTTTTTACCGTCGGGATTTATTTATTTTTTCGCTGGATTTATTTTTTAGAATTTTTTTTTATTTTTACAGTTGCGACTTGTATTATGAATTTTTATTTGGCCTTTTTTGGGACTGAAGAAAGAAGAAATCAAATGGTAAGTATGAAATTTTATCTTACAGGTTAAGTTTATTGCCCCCCCCCCCTTTACTATTATTAGGGTGAGGGGGGTAGGTAGGGTATTTTTATTGGGGGCGGCAGTGACTAGGGGCTTGGGGACCCCTAGTTACTTTATGGGTGGGGACCTTGGGGGGGGCAACGGCGGGTGGGGGCCCTAAAGAAGAATAAGGGGGGGAACCTATTGTCCTTCCCCCCCGGCCCCCACCCCTGAGCGGCGGGTGGGGGCCCAAAATATCAATAAGGGGGGGACCTAATGTCCTCCCGCCTGGCCACAACCCCTGAGCGGCGGGTGGGGGCCTTAAATTTAGAATAAGGGGGGGGGCCTATATAAAATATAACCACCCTCCCCCCAAAAAATAACCCCTACCTACCCCCCTCATCCTAAAAATAATGAGGGGGGACCCTTATATAAATACCTGTTGTTACGGTATAACCCAGTGTAGTGAGGGTTAATACCGATTAAGGGATTCACCTTTACAAGGGAAAAGCAGCTCACGAACACTCGAATCCACCGAACAGGAAGCATACGAAATCCTTCTCTCCTGGAACAGGCAAAAGAATACTCCACAGTAGCAATCCCCCCAATCACGAGACCAAGGTCCGTATTGAGGGTAAAACAGGATTCTGATTATGGTTCTGCTCAACATTAGCAATAATGTGAAGAACATGCAGATAATGCAACCAGGTTTAAAAGTGAAGCATTTGCAACCAATGCTGAAATCCGGTATTGAACCAGGGACCTTTAGATTTTCCGTGTAACAATCTCCCAACTGAACTATTTCAGCTTCCCACGTATACAGATTCTCGCTTTTGAATCGCCGAGCATACTTCTAATAAAATCTAACTCGGATCAAGTTTTGTGACTACAGATATGAGTTGAGCACGCTTCAACAAATACTGATTTACAGTGATTTATTAGAATGTTGAACACATTGAGATCCCAACTTTGTTGTTGAAGAGGATAACTACTGTGTGGAAGGATTAAAGCACATTTCCCAAATGAGAAATATCCTGATCTTCAGGATAACACTGCCAAAACTGAGATATTGAAAGGGACAGCGGATCTTAACCCCTTCCCGACCGCTGACTTTTCAGGTACATCCGACAAAAAACGGTCCATAATGACCTTGGACGTACCTGATACGTCTGCTGCTATTTTGAGCGCTGGAAGCTCTGATAGTATTGCAGCGATGCTCTGCATGTGCTGAGTGCCTTGAGGGGTCGAGGCCCTCAGCGAAGATATAATAATATATTAAAAAATATATATATATATAAAATAAAGTAATCAATATTAAGTCCTCCTCCCCCCTCCAGCCATGTGGCTCCCAAGATGACGCTGCCTTTCTAAAGGCAGTGCATCATGGGGCTTCTGGGGGTGTCCCTAGCCTGCATCATCATAGGGGCAGGCTAGGGTCATCCAATTACAGCTTGCCCCATTAACAATTTTATTCCAGGTGTGTTTCCCATTTGTCTGATTAGTGTGGATCTCCCTCCCTGTCTTCACTCGTGTTTTAGTGAGAGAGGGAGAGAGATCTATGTTTTGAAGGAGACGTGCTGCTCCAGCTGGCAGAACTGCTGAGGAGTGGGTAGTGCCTCATCGCCAGAGGACAGACATCCCACCCTTTACTGCAAATCCTGGCATTAATTTGGATGTTGCAGGATTTAGCCCTCAGCAGTTTATGGAGGTGTTTCTGGGCGATAATGTATTGGGGAACATTGTCACCCAAACTAATTTATATGCCGATCAGTTCCATGCTGCAAAGCCTGACTCTTTTTTGGCAAAGCAGCAATGGGCCCCAATCGATGTGCCAGAATTAAAAAAAATTCTGGGCATTGACTATGCTGATGGGCATAATAAAGAAGCCCTCCATCCACTCCTACTGGAGCAGCCGCCCCATCTCCTCTACCCCCATTTACATTCCACTCGATTACGCAGCCAAACATGAACTTGCCTGGTGGCTGCAACACATGGAAGCGTGGAACAGCAGAGCGATCTTCGGAACCGCCCCGGATTTCATCATAGAGTCCGATGCAAGTTGGGGAGTGCACTGCGATTCTATCTTGCCCTAAAGAGTCTCCTCGGGGCCGCGACCAACTGCTCTATTGTTCTGTGAATGGAAAATATATCTGCAGTCCGCTACATCAACCACGTCACCAAGACTTCGGCTGCCTGCCTGTTTGTGTTTGATTAAGTTAATTTGTTGTGGTTTGTTGTCATCGATTATAAGCTTTGGCATCAACAGGAAAGAGGAATAGATAGGGGTCACATGGGAGTATATGCTATGTGGGCTGTTCCCATAGGCTAGGATATTATGATGTAATGTTTAACCCTATGAGGGTATTTGTTTATTTTTCTGCTATGAATACCTTATCTTTCTTTGCTTCTGAGGAATAAAAGAAAGAGATAAGCCTAATACTCTCCTCCGTGTCCTTAATAAAATCATGACTTTACATAATGTAATTAGTAAAATCTGGTAATTTTTCTTAAAAACTTCATAAAGGGTCTCTCATCTAGAGAAACGGAATGGAAATGGGAAGTGGATAAAAAGAGGAATAGTTTATGTAATGTGGTGGCAATAAGACAGGGTTTATCGAGCGTATAACAAAGTAGTAGTAATAAAGATAAGGAACATTAGATAAGTAAGTGAGTTTATTAGGGTTATGATAGTGATAATTAAGACGGGGGTGGGGTGAAGGGGTGGGCAGGGGGGAAGAAATAGGGGATTTTAATGTTGCTTGAGTTATGAACAGAAGAAACATTGTATTAATGATGATTAGTGGCGTACACACAAACCATGGGGCCCCAGTGCGAAAATGATCTGTGGGCTCCCCCCCCGACATACATACAAACAGACAGGCACACATATATACATACAGACAGATACACACAGACACATACATACAAACAGACAGGCAAACATACAGGCACACAGACACATACATACAAACAGACAGGCACACATACAGACACACACACACATACAGACAGACAGGCACACATACAGACAGACAGACACACACACACACACACAAGACACATACATACAAAGACACATACATAAAAAACAGACAGGCACACATACACACAGGCAGACACATACAGACAGACAGACATGCACACATACAGATTGACACACATACACAAGAAGCACATACATACAAACAGACAAGCACACACACATACAGGCAGACACACATACATACACAGACAGGCACACACACATACATACAAAGACATAATACAAACAGGCAGACACACACACACACAGACACACATACATACAGACAAACACACATACATACAAACAAACACACACACACAAAATGTTTAAGTCACCTTCCTGTTTCCTACCTTTAAGGTGCAAGAGAGTGACTTTCCCTGGGGTCCAGTGGTGCTCAGGTGGATGGGAGTCAGAGTTCCCACTCTGACTCCCTGGTCTCCCTCCTGCGCGGGCTCTCAGTAATAGCTGGGAGGAGTGACGTGCAGTCACTTCCTCCCAGCGTGTGATGTAATCACAGGGGGCCCGGTCGCGCTGTTAAAGCGCCCAGTGCTGACCGGGTCCCCTTACAATCCATATCCATCGGGTGGCCCTGACAGCATGGGCCACCCGATGGACCCTTGGATGGCGGCCGCGGCAGTTTGCCGCGCTGGCCTGGGCCGCAGAAGATGATGGCGGCGGATACCCGGTCACAGGGGTCCGCAGGGCGGCCGGGCCCGGTCGCAGCTGCGACCCCTGCGACAGCGGTTTGTACGCCACTGATGATGATAGAGAGACCTTGAAGTTGCGTACATTATGTAATAGTTTTAACTACTATACAATGTTAAGGTATCTATCTGAAATATAATATAATATAAAAAAAAAATGAGTTCAATTATGTCTTCAATAAAACTGAAGCTGAGTCTTTACCTCCCTATAGGGTATATGACTGTCCTATTGATCTTCTTCCTGGAGCTGCTATACCTTTTGGACCTATATATCCACTCTCTCACTCTTATAAGAATACCTAGAAGAAAATGTTCGCAAAGAATTCATCAGACCATCTACTTCTCCTTCTGCATCTGCTATATTCTTTGTTAAGAACAAGGACAATTCTATTTGTCCCATAATTGATTACAGAGAGTTAAATTAAAAAAAACTTAAAAAAATAGATATTCTCTTCTGCTAATTCCTGAACTGATTGAACATTTGAAAACAGCAACCATCTATACAAGACTTGACCTTCGTGGAGCTTACAACTTAATCAGAATAAAAGATGGACATGAATGGAAAACTGCTTTGCGCACTAGGTATGGATTATATTAATACCTAGTAATGCCATTTAGACTTTGTAACGCTCCTACCACCTTTCAACATTTTATAAATTATATATTTCGTGACCTCCTGGACATTTGTGTCATCTTTCTCGATGACATTCTCATCTATTCCAATAACCCTCAAGACCACAGAAAACCTGTGAAATGGTTCTTTCAAGATTACATACACACATATTATATGCGAAACCAGACAAATGTATTTTTGAAGTATCTGAAGTTTCATTCATTGGATAGATTATTTCACCTCAAGGTATAAAAATGGATGACTCCAAAATACAGTGTATCCTCAATTGGCCTGTTTCTACTACAGTAAAACAAGTTCAAAGTTTCTTTGGATTTTCTAATTTCTATAATAAGTTTTTAAACAAAATTCTCAGAAATTGTTCAACCACTTAAGCAGTTTACCCATAAGAACGTCCTTTTTAATTGGACTGTTGACATTCAAAAGGCATTTGATTCCCTTAAACAGCATTTTATATCTGCACCTATACTCAAGATGCCTAATTCCTCTCTTTCCTTTATCCTAGAAGTGGATGCCGCAGATAACGCAATAGGTGTCGTTCTTTCTCAACAAACAAGTCCTTAAGATTCCATACATCCTGTTGCCTTTTGTTCTCGTACTCTATCTCCAGCTGAAAAAAATTATGCAATTGGTGAAATAATTATTGGGAATAAAAGCTTATTTTGAGAACTGGCGTCATTTACTAGAGGTAGATGAGAAACCCATACTCGTCTATGCTGACCACAATAACCTTGAATTTTTACATTGAACATTATTAGCACGGCAACTCAGGTGGAATCTCTTTTTTCAAAGATTTCATTTTCACATAATATACAGGCCTGGTTAAAAAAATTAAAAAGGCTGATTCGCTATCACATATGAACCCCCAAGAGGATAACACAAATGAACCTACTTTGATTATATCACCTTCAAAATACATTGGAATAACATCTCAATTTATTGAGAAGATAAAACAAATTGAAAATTGAAAAAGAAGAACTTCAAATTCCTACAAACTCCAGTTTAACAGAACAAGAAGGTGTTTATTTAAAAAAATTATTGTATATTCCTCCTTCGCTAAGAATTGAAGTCTTAGAATTAGTCCATGATCTTCCACTTGCTGGACACCCGGGAATAAAGAAAACTATTGAGCTAACTACCAGGCATTTGGAGGCCTGACTTGGTCCATACTATTTCAATCTATGTGTCCTCATGCCATATCTGTCAAAGATTTAAACCTGTCCTGCAACATCCTTATGGACTATTAATGAATTTACCTATTCCTGATCGTCCATGGAAATCCATCTCTATGGAATTCATCGTTTACTTACCATAGTCTCAAACAGACCACTATTCTAGAGGTTGTGGATTGTTTTACTAAATGTCTCATTTTATTCCAAGTTCAAAAATTCCTACTTCTCTCGAATTATCCAAATTGTTCATCTCTTACATTGTGCGACTTCATGGTT